TTTGTGCTGAAATTTATTGGTCCCACACTACAATAATTTTGAAAATTGTATCCCTTAAGCTGCAGTGCTGAGATATTATTAACTGCTTGAACTGAAAGAGCAGGTCTGATCAACTGCTATAAAGTCTATGGACAGAGACTAATTTCTATTGAACCACATGCTTATCTGAAGCTGTGTTCCACCATTGCAAGCTGCCAACTTTATTTTCTTCCAGAATACACTGCCCATCTTTTTACCATCATCCTCAGTATGCACTGTCACTTCAGCAAATTCATTCCAGGAGCTAAGAATGTGTCTAAGCTTCTGCTAATATGGTTGTCTGAGACAATCACACCCAGGAGACGGGGAGGGAGATCCATCCACTTGTACCTCTTATCTTCCTAAAACAGGTTATTTTCCTCACTAAGCAAGCCTCCAGTCTCTGAAACGCATCTCTGTGATGAATCACAAGATAAGCATATCTATTTAATGGCCAACACATTCTTTATCACTTCTGCTACCACAATTAAGAAATAAAATTATTTGATAATGTGCTGATGCTTTGGTCAATACACATTTACATCAGTTAGTACAATTTTTAAAAACTAAACTGACCTCAGAGCCTAAAATCTTTATAATTGAGAAGATAATGAAAATGATAAATGATACAGCTGCTGGGTGACTATTCTTTGAATGGAAATTCCCAACTAGACAGAAAAACCTTCCCCAGGCATAACACATAAGACACAAGGATAGAGTTCTGGGATAAAAGAAATGTATTTCCTACACCCAGGAACCTAACAAGTCTGGAATAAAACAGCTAAAATATTACACCACAACCAGGAAAAATAGTAATAAATTGTACTGCCTCATTTTCATTCAGATAATTTAATAGCCTTTATAAACTGAAAGAAATTGTTAAAAAGGAGGTTCTGATTTGCACATCCAAGTTTCTAGATAGTACTATGTTCACTTTTTCTTTACTAGACAGTGTCAAGCTCTCCATGAGGCATTCAAAACTAATGACAACTCACTGTGGCAAATCAATCTCTCTAAGCAGAGAATCTGTTGCTTCTGGCAATGGCATTCAGCTCATTAAGACCTGTGCCCAGCAGGAATTTGAAAACCAAGGTGTGGCAGGTCTCTTCCAAACTTTTTAATGCCTGTCTGTTCAACATCCTTTATTTTAGGATGGATCTAAGAAGCAGAAGGAGCCTGTCAGTAAGTGGACACTTGTCCTGAATGAGTGGCTTGGCTGCTTAAAAAACACCATCAAAGGTATTGGCAAAGCAGGATACAATAAGAATCTGTGAAAATAGACAGAGTTCAATGGCAAGGTTCACTGTATTACTTATTGCATTAGACAGATTAAAGCATAAAAAAGAATAGTATTTCTGTGTCTACTTTCATTACATCCTACCATTTATTGAAGTGACTAGAGGAAGTTGGCAGCCTTTTCCTGTCTCACTCAAACAATAGGAATTCTCTCACATCACAAATTCACAGTATTGAAGATAAGGAAAAGTGCTAAGTTTGGAGTTTTCCACTTCTACTGATGAATATTCTGAGTATTTTTAAGTGCTTAAACTGATGAGATAAATGTTTTGGAATCGGTTTCTCTAAATTATAGCTTAATTAGATCAAAAGAAGAAGTCCACAATTTCAAAGGATAAAGCCTGAATCTAGCTAGAAGTGTGATCAGGTATCAACATGCAGCAGCTTAAAATAAGTTATGCAAGCTAACTTTAATATGTGTGAATATCAGGTTTCCAATGCAGAAATGTGTATTTTTCAATATACTTTTCTGAGCAGAAATCATATAATGTCATTTATATGCAAATCAGACTATATTCTGCAACTGATTCTTCAGTGCAGAAGCCATGGGAATTATTTGCACTTAATAAAGCCTCATAAATAGGTTTTGCCTCTAAGTGGATGGGGGAACAGCAAATATATCATAGCCATTTACAGTTACAAGCGTCTTCTTATTTTGAAAGTTATATGCATCCTTTAATAGGAAGTTTCACAGTTACAAAAGAAACATTGTTTTCTTTATATAAACAAAATACCCTTACAGCCTTCAAAACAAAATGTTTTGCCTTATTCCCTATGCTCAGCTATCGAAAATATAGAAATTGTCATCTAGCTTCAGTCAAAAAGACATGCTAGTTCCATGCAGTATATATTAAATACAGAAATAAATTAATTGTTATTATATCTAGGCAATTTTGTATTTGAAAGGACATATACCTTCTTTATGTGAAGTATGTCCACCCAGTACCATCTATTGCATTTTTGCAAAACATGTTAACATTTTCATAGACCACCAATTAGTTGTGCCCCTCAAGTCCTGGCACATGGAAATAATCCATTTAAAAAGGACAAGAGAACAGACTTGAGACCACTCAAAGCACATTCCCGAAAGTGTAGTGTTTCAGTGTGGTAAGTAGCACACTAAAGCAAGCTGGGAAACAACTCTTCCTAACTGGTATAAACAGTCTGGACTGGGACTCCTGTTAAGGGCAGGAATGCAAGTCAACAGTAGCACATCTTTTCCAGTCTCTTCACAGCCAGAGGGAAGAGCAACAGGGATAAGCATTGCCTAGAGAGACAAAAGTGCTTTGCAATGCTCTCCTTATCCCAGCACATTCTATCTGAAACGCCCATCCAGGGCACACGGAGACCAGGAGTTAGAACACTGGGGGAAAGTGAAGACTTAAACTGATACAATTTGATGTCACACAGATTTCAAGAACAAATACAGAAGCGTGGCTAAGCCAGGTTTATCTCAACTGAACAGTGGCAGCCAATAAACACCTGCCCTTTTTCTATCTGATTGTTTTCAGTCAAGCTGAAATTAATCACTGAAAGCACTGCATGTGCCTCAGTTAATTCTCATGGAAGTCTTCCAAAAATTCAGTGTGTTATTAGCCCTCTGCAGGAAGAGAATTTTACCCTGATTAGTACCTTCTTTTCTATTTCCTTGTTAAGCAAAGGAGCTTGGAAAAAAACCTAGGCTTCACAGATCTCATTTCAGAGATATAATTAAAGATCCTGGCAGTAAAACAATTGACAAGATACAACTCTTTTGCAGACAGGGTGACATAAAGAGCTAATGCAAGATACCCCTTCTTTTAGAAGAGGTACCATCGATACTGTCATAATGATGCATTAGAATGGTATAATTTGTGCTCTGCAAAATGACTGATTTAAAATATTTTGGGTATATTGGTTTCATACAGTGACTTCTGTTAATTCTTTATCATTATTCTGACTGCCTTTAAGAGCACCAACTTTTATACATCACGTAACTATTCTGTGAAGGTATATCTAAGTAAAAATACACCCAAATAACAAGAGTCCTACTTGTTGCAACTGCTCTTATTTTAACAATTACTGTAATGCTTAACTCATTAAAATCTTCACATACAAGAATAAAAGCTACATAATTAAAATGTGTTCATGACATGCACCACACAAGGAAAATTATGTTACAATACATTTGCAGTATTCTGTATGCTGAATCTTACCGTATACAGAAATATGTCTGGCAACATGTTTAAACACTATACTTATTTTCCCACTATTTTTGAAGATTATGGGTTTTGAGTGCATATTGCATTTTCTTCAGGCACAAATATGGTTGACCTCAGTTTTTATTTTGAAATCAATATGTGTGATAGGACAAGGAAGCATATAAGGAAGTTGAAGTTAAATTAAAAGCAGGTATAAGCATGTATTTTATTATGGAGACTCACACAAGTAAGATAGTAAAATCTGACTTCTCATCACATTGAATTTTCTTTCACTATTTTGTTATAGGAAACAGTATTTTTTATAATGTAAATTTTGTAGAATCATCCCCAGACTAAAGCTGTGGCATCCTGCTGTATCCCCAAGAATTACTTACACAATCCCATTGATTGAAATTCAAGCCACTCATTTAATGTTTCAACTCTACGTAGAATTAAAATAAGGATCAGTTTAGACTCTAACAATGTTTTTATGTACTTTAGTCTCTATTTTACTCATTGTTAGTTGCTTAGTGAAAATGTCTGATGATGTCCTGTTGAATTTGTCTCTCTGAGCATGTGGTCAGTACACGAAACAAAGCACAGCCATCTTTTGCCCTTTTATTCACCTTAGGAAAGTTAGATCCTTAAATGGATAAAGGAATTCAGTGTCTCACATGCACAAGCAAGGCAATGTTCAGTGAGCCTGTCTGTGATATTACAGCAAACCAACTTCTCCATGTCACTCTCATCACAGGTGATTCAGAGGGTTCTACCAGGGAGCAATTCAGCCCATTTACAATCTGAAATATCTTCTGACAGTGTCTGTCTCTTTCTAGTGACTAGACAGGGAGTCCAGGTGAACTAAGTTTATCTCTTAATGGGATTCAATTAAACAATGGCAATTATAGCTCTCCATAGCTAAGTCAACACTTACCTTCTGGGGAGTGACCTGGGGTTTCGGTCCCCTGGTCATTTATATGAGGCATCTTTTGAGAAACACCACTGTATCTGCCTGGGAGCCATCTGTTTCCCATGGAAATCAGAAGATTGTGATGGACAGGAGATAAAATCTGCATTCTTAAATGTTACCCTGACACAGAACTGGAAGGTGTACATGACTAGGATGGCAGGACTAAATGTAGCAGTAGTATAGTAATTCTGAGTTACTTCAGCTTGGAAGCTTAATTTTAAAAAAATCTGACAAAAAGAGATCAGATATACTAATAACTTTGAGGTGTAATAAAATACTTGGTGTAGAAAAGTGAATTAAGCTTGGGCCTGCTGGCATTTGCATACTCAAAAAGATATTGAGGGGTGAGGATTGAGGCTGCTTAGATTAGTCCATTCTTTCATCCAGAGAAAGAGTCATATTAAGTCAAAAGCATAAGGAAACACTGGAATCAAGCAAAATGCTATTAGTTGAGAAAATTACAATCTGGTAGTGCAGCAAAACATGGCTGCATTTAGTTGTACCACAAACAATGTTGAAAGAACAGACAGCTAATGTTCCACATGTGATTGTAACATTTTAATTCCTCACATTTTGAATAATTAACAGTAAAAATTAACATTCTCTTGGATTTTAGACAATATCATATATTCTACTAACTGCTGAACTTGCAAGGTCTACTACTCAAACACTAAAGCTACAAAAAGATATCCAAATCTAATGCCTGGTGCCTAAATCTATATTACGACACATGAATGTTCATTTTATGACCTTGGGTATGAAACTGAGCAGGCAAGAGCGTTTTAGAGTATTTTTACAGACATTTAACAACTGGTTTGCTGAGAATCTAGAAACATACCTGCTTAAGTTGCACTTTTTTATTAAAACATTCATAGCACTGTCAAAAGGAATATCTAGAATCTAGGATAGTCTATCATTCTATTGCTTCTATTTATAAATCTAATTATTTTATAGAATCAGCACTATGAAAAATTCACCTTTAGAGAAACTGAAAGAAAAACCTAAAAAACATAAAAAATTTCCAAGGAAATAGTCTTTCATTCACTTAAAGATTATTTGAGAAGCAGGACATGTTACTACAAACTCTTAATCCTTTACTTTCTCCAGTGGGATTTTCTCTTATCTATAATAGTACTCTCAAATTATGAACTATTCTCCTTTGACAGCTTTCAATATTTTTCTTTATAATCCTGAAAACAGCAAGGTAAACAAAAAGTACTTTTAATACTTGTAAAACAAGGTATTATTCTTATATTCTATAAATTCTACAACAAAACTGGTGTCTAATTTATTACATATTCTATGCAGCAATCCAGCTATTAATGAACAGGTATAGAACAGAAATCAAATTCTCTTGACGGAAGCCTTCACTGTAAAATTGACTGTAAGTTCTTTCCCCAGCACTTACAATGTATTTTGTTTACATGTTTTACAAAATACCATCAAATATTCCAATAAAGGGCCTGACATCATTGGTTTCATCATCAAGAAGAAATCTAAAGAAGATTAAGCAAACAAACAAATTAGGTATAGCCCATCAAAACCTTTGGGATCAGGAACACTGTATAGAGTCAAGAGAAACCAAGACAAGCAATATAATTTTAAGTAATGTCTCTTAAGAAAAAATAATTGCTACTATTATTGTGAAAACAGAACTTTTTAGCAATAAATATTAGAATCAAACACATTGCCTAAAAGTCTGTGTTCCGTGAAGAACTAAGCACTGGAACACTGAAGAAACAGAAAAACATAAGTGTGGGATGATTATGCAACACATAAGTTTTTCTTACCTAGGATCTACTTCTTTTTCCTGTTCTTTTGTGAAAATAAAAAAATCTTCTTTCCTAGTGAATTTAGAAGAGTCTGAGATTATTTCTGGGATGGAAGAACTCTGTACATTTTTTTGCTCTTGAGAAGGACTTGAATGTGTTTTTTCATGAAAACTGAACTGCAACACAAAAGTTTAAAAGAAAGTATATATGGTTAAACCAACTGAAACTTCCAGATTATTGTAGAATGTAGTACTGGTATTTAATTGATATTATAGTGTTTGACAAGGACTGAGCATGTGATGATTCTAGCTATATACTGGACAGAAAAAGTCAAATTGAGTAAATACTTTTGAGCTCATGCTATATAAAGTAAATTCATATCCTATTTCTTTGTATCAGGAATATCCCACTGAACACAGAATAATTTGGACAATTCGAAATTCATGATAACCTAATTGATTCATAAGTCAGAAATGGCAGATATATTTACACAATAAGTATTCTAATCATAGAAAATTATGTTATCAATATATTTTTACTCACCAAAGTTAAATCTCTGTTCTGTACAGAGAAATTCACTTTTGATGTGCTGTTGACCACAGAAACATCTGAGTTCTGACTATTGGTCTCATCTTGTACTGTGCATGAACTGAAAATACCAAGTTGAATAATTTCAGTATTTTTATAGAAGGGAAAAATTATTTGCTGTTCAGCTCAGGATTTTCTACTTATTTCCCTGCACACTTAAATAAAAACCAAATTTAAATAATTCAACAATTCGTATCTTTTAAACATGAAATTTCACTCACTTTTATGAGTGGACAACCTTCTACATATTTAATTACACAGATACACGTGAAATACAGACAATATTTTAAATGGCATAAAACAGTAGTAAATTATATAATTCTTACACTTTTGAAATGTTATTTGTGGCTTTGCTTGTTGTATACCCGCAGAGGGGTTGACATTCATCTGCACTTTGAAGGCAGGTATTTCCATGTTCTGTGAAAGAATGGAAGTTTTAAAAAGAGGGTTGAGAAGTAGCCGTAACCCCTTCTAAATATTTCCAATGTTATGATAAATAACACTTTGAAAATTATGAAAGTGTCTTAACACTTGAAATATTTCTTCTTTGGCCTTTGGGCTAATATAAAAATAAGCAGAGATATACAGTCAGTATACATTATGCAACAATGATTATGCAGTTTCAGGCCATCAGAAAATTTTAATTGTGAGTTTTTCAACTCTTCCTTCTGTATTGAACTTGTCACAATATATGTGGCATTCAAGGTAGAATAATAAACCTGTTAGTCTAGTCAATTAACCACAAATTTCAGGTGCTTCTATTCATTGTATACTATAATAATTTATTCTCAAGTAATAGCCAGAAGAATAATTTGTAGGAAAGAAAGAAGTTTGTTGAAATAACCTTACCTAATTCTCTATTGACAAAATTACTGGCAAATACTAATTTATCATCATCAATATCATCCCAAATGTCATCTCTCAGTTCAAAGTCCACATTCAAAGCATCTGAAAAGCAGTATCTGCTTTTATCTGTGGCAGAAAAATATGAAGTATTAATTTAAAGATCAAACCAGTGAACACTGTAATTTTAAATATTAGCAATAACTTATTACTCTTTCCACAATTCCAGGATTGTAGTTGTTGCTGAGCTACTTCTAAGGTATTATTATTATCTGCCTGATCCACTGAAGGTGATGAAGATGACAGTTTATTGCTAGACCTAGTAAAAAAAAAAATCAGTGACATGTTTGTAAAACAGTTGCAGAAAGTTGCAAAATAATTTTATTCACAAAACAATTCTTAGTAGTACCTTGGCAAGGCTGGCAATAAAGACTTAGGTGTAAAAACAAATTGTTTGAGATCCACATTTTCAGCTTGACTTAACATCTGCATCTAAAGGAAGTAAAATATCTTAACTCATAAGATAAAAAAAATAGTTCTTACTATGTTTATAACAAGGATACTGACATCATTAATATTGTAAGTTTGCATAATATTTACAAGTCATAAAACCTTTCTGATCTCTATCTAATGCACTCAATTAAAAAGGTTTGAATTATGTGCTTCTAGTGGAGGTATCCAATCACCCTGGCAAAGCCACACTGGTTGACTCTCAGCTGTTTTAGCTGTAGGCTAAATAATCCTCTACTGCAAACAAACAAGCAAACAAAACTCTGAGGTGGAAATAATCCCTCCAATACCTCAAATGTCATTCTTACTGCAGAAAGACCTAGTCTAACACTACATTCAGAGGAATGAAGTGCAAGCCATGAAATGTTTCAGAAGTTTAAAACTAATAGGGATGGTTTTCTTATAAACAAGTGGATCTACTTGACAGTGAAAAAAGGACTCTTAGTAGCATGACTCATAAATAACACAATTTGTTTTATTCAGGTCATATTTTGCCAAACCAAGTCACAGTGCAGTACCTTCCAACAATGCCTCTGAACCTCACCAACCACACCTATCAAATGCTATAAAAGAAAAAATATAGAGGATGTGCACAGAAGTGGACCAATGGAAATGCTCCAAAGAACAGTAGAACCTCTCAAAGATTCCTGGACTTTTGTACTTCTTTACTTTTTGCACTCCACACAGAAAAGTCGAACTTGAATGTTCATATTCAGTGATAAAATTCTCTCTGCAAATAATGCCTACAAATATGTAACAGATTAAAATAAACCTATGAAATGGCTGACTGCATTCAAGTGAACCTTTAGACGTTTTACTGGGGGTATAGATGAAACTGAGTTCCTGCTCCTTAAATCAGCTAGGTACAAAGAAAACTTTGTGTCTCCATTCATCTGTGACTTTGGAGGTACTCCAGTTTTACCTGCGAAAATAAAGCAAAATAATCTTTAGATTAGTTATAAGGGATAAATCCTAATTATTTCCAAATTACTTTGAGAAGCTTTGCCACTAAGCTTTATATCTTCTGTTGAAAGATTCTAAAAGATTTAGCATGCTAACTACAAGATCTAACATAGTATTTTTATAAAAGTATAACAAGCTTGACATTTTTTAAAATCATATGCTAAGTACAAAAGGCATTATTAATCATTGTAGTGCCTATAAAAGTGCTAATACCAAAGCTACTTATAATTGCCTTTATGACTGCATCATGACACCTCAGGCCCCATTCTCTTGCTTGTATTGTTTCTGTTAACATAGCCATTGGTATGATGTGAGCTGTTCTAAATTACATTTCTCTAAAAGTATCAGTAGTAGATTTAATGAAACTCACAGCAGTCATGCCCACACACATCTTTATTTTTACAGCGGTGGTTGCATTCTCTGTTTCCATATTTCTTGTAAGCAATCTCCTGTTTAGATCTGCCTCCTAGACAAATATAATATAGAAATTCAACCAGTAATATTGAATACCAAACACCCATGATTTTTCTTACTTTCAAAATCATCAAAGAATCGCAGTGTAGTACTTTACAAGTAGAAGCAGCAGAGTTGTATTTTTATTACCTTTGAGAAAGAAACAGCAGGGATAAATAAAGATCTAGTTCCCTAGTGAAAGCAAAATTCAATTTTCTGTTGACTTCAGTATTAACCAGATACTGTGATCTGACCATTTACCTGTATCTGCTTTTGCTGTTGGCAAGTTTTGGGGTGAGCCATAACATATATCAAGTGTAGATTCAGCTTTCAATTTTTGATTTGTAACCACCTTATGTCCCTCTGGTTTTGGTGTTAAGTAGAAGGCTGTATATGCTCGCTGTATATCAAGGCCAACTTGGAAAATAAAAAGGCAAAAATATTAAAATTGCTTTAAACTGTTTCTATACTACAATTATCTGCAGTTTTCTAAAGTGTTTAGGCAAGTAAATGTTACTCAAAGATCATGGAAATTTTTAAAGATCATTTGCGCTTAAAGCACACTCTTGTATGACCAGATTATTTAAGCTTGAGATTAAAAACCTCAAACATTTTTTAGGATTAGAGACATATCACTAGAAGAAAAACAAAATTAGTTACCAAAGTGGAGATGAACCATATCTAACACCTCTTTACTACAACAAAACCTAACCATTCACAAAGACAGCTCTGTTCAGCATAAATAACCTGTCAGGCTGATAGGGTATCCCTACTGACAGTTAACTCACTTGACAGAGAAGGACAAAAGAAAATCCCAGTCTGTATCAACAGACCAAACATTGTCTCCTAGTAACAGTTTGATGCTTCCCAATTCCTTAATGTGATAGTAAAATAAAGAAACAGATAAGTAATTGTGAGAGGTAGTATGCAACCCAGCAAAATACACAGTATTGAGGTTTGTTTCCAGACCAGCTCACTTTATTATACTTTAGCTTAATAGAAAGTGTTTTAGTAATTTGTTCCAAAATCTTATGCATATTTTTTTTTAATTCAAAGAATACCTTAACCTACCATAATCAGAACTAATTAAATTTATACTAATGTCTTCTGATTTAAGAGCTCTTTTAACTTCAATTTTCTTCATCCAATTTCCAGTTTTCAGGAGCACAGAATCCCTGTAATGCATCAGCAAAGTTGTTAGACAAGGACAATGGAAACATGACTGCACACTATGGTACCTGTAACCAAGTGAAACAGCCTGTATTTGGTCCTAAGTTCTTTAGTTTTGCTTGATAATTGGCCAAGAAGAACTTTTCAATGATGTATGATTTATGGCCATAAGAGGGCCAGGATCCTGCAGATCAGTTTCAATTTTGCCAAAAATGCCGGATTTCAGCCAGAATTCTCATAAATGTCAAGCAGTTAGAAAAGATTTTGTTTCTCTTTTTCCATTTGTTCCAAGCATCTCTTAGCTAACTGGAGAATTAAAATCCATCTCTGAGGGAAAAAAAATGTAATTGAAGAAATAATAGCTAACAGGAGTAAGTAACAATTGGTTCATCTATCCTTTTAATAGGTATTTTACTTGTTTTCTATTTATGGGAAAATTATGATGACTTTTCCATAATATGACATTGATGTTGAACAGTTATTTACATGTGCTCTCTTCACTGACAAGCACACTGGCATGTTTTGGGGTTTTCTGAATCTTGTGTAGCATTTTTAAATGACAACAGTGACTAGAAAATGCTGTAGGATAAAGAATAATTTTGTACTATTAGGCATCAGTGGGAAGTATTGAAAATCTGCAAGTCACAGAACAGATGAAAAGCCAACACCATAGAACTATGTAAGGCAAATAACCCTGATCATACGTACATAATTTTCTGATTAAAAATGACTTGGTTGTCAGCATCTCCTATGACCAACGAAACATAGTGAAAGTCCGGCGCTGTTCTCTTTATCTGGAGCTGCTCATAATTTGTTAATTTGACAGTTACTAAGATTTCAGCCGATGTGTCACTGTACTTGGGAAGCTGGGGAAAATGATACAGAAGACATAACTGCTAAAGTATGCAAAGTAAAATATATGCCCTTCCATAAATTTCTATCTGTTGATACAAGCACAAAAACTCAACTCAAGCAATTTGAATTTGTGGTACAATTTTATTTGTTCTTCTGAGACACTGATTTTCAGTACTAACTTCGCCATAAGCTGAATAGCCTAAGTTTGATTCAGTACTGAGAATCCAAGACAAATGCAAAGAGAAATAAGCAAGAATAAGACTTGTTATATAGAAGTTATATTTTGGCATCCCAATATTCCTTTAGAAGATATTTATAACTGTTAGATCTCCATTCTAAGAATTGAGTATTGAGTAATACTCATCTGGTATTATGTCAAATGAAAAGTAAATTAGAACTAATTGTTATACCAATAGAATTTCACATATCTATTGAGCTTTTAACTTCAAATGTGTCTTCATGTCTACCAACTTTAGGGTTACTTTTCAAATTTTGATTTTAGAAAGTTGGAGTATCTTTGGCATCCATATAAAGACAAAATGCAAATCAGAACCTCAAAGCTCTTGATTATACATAGAATTGTACCCTTCCTTTGAAAGGGCACCAGCTAGGTTAATGTAATGATTTACTGTTTCTCTATATTTCTAAGCGTGCTCTAGAAAATAAACATGCATTAATACCATTTCAGTAAGATGTATTTGGATGTTTTGCTATCTCTAGGGTTTGTTTAAATTAAAGATAGAAAAGACATCTCAGACTCACATATAATGCTAGAATGTGAATATACTGGTATACATCTGTAACATAAAATGCTATCAACGTGATAGGCCAATATATAATGGGGAATGTCTGTTCCAAGGCTCTCCTTTGAGATTTGGAAGTTTCATTCTATCTGCTAAGCTGGACGGAGGTTACAATATTGTGTGATCGTCTATCCGTGAAGACTCAGAATTGCTTTAAGTAAGTACTTGCTTTTTAATTTAATAATACCAGCATAAAAACATAAAATAAATATAAAATAATGTACCTGTTCAATTTCAAGTTCATACTTTGGAAGATGCAAAACAGACTCCTTTATCTGGTTTCCAAAAGGAGGATGTCTGTTTAAGATCTGCAAAGATGTAAATCCAAGGAATCAAAGTCGCCTGAGTAATTATGTTAGCAAAAAAAGTCCCTTTCTCTTGGTTCTCTACTGTCAGTGATGCCCAGAATAGTAACATTACCAAAAGAAAATTCCAACACTTTTACATGTTGCTACTGCTTCTGTTCAGTTAACTGCCAATCCACTACCAATGACTACTCAGGTTTTATATGAAATGAGTCTTCTATGCTATATAAGCTTTAACTAAAACAGAACAAATTACAAGAAAAAGCACAAAAGGAGCCAGAAATGAGAAATCAAATTTCCAAAGTCAAAACAGAAAAACCCAAGTAAGACTTAGAAGTCTGTTATATCTTCCAGAACGCTAGAAAAAACAGTGTCCACAGAAAAGAAGCCAAAAGCCACAGAACCAGTCCTAGGGTAACACTTACCTTTCCTGAAATAAGAAGTGCTTTACAGATGATATAGAAGATTTTTATTCTACTCCTCTCTCAAACTTGCAATAATGGAAATTTGGGATTTTCATAACTAAGATACACTAAGAGAAACTGTACATAATATTCCCTTTTATAGTTTTCCAACACTCCTAATAGAGAAGTGCATATTGTCCTTTGTTTCAAACCATGTCAATGATGAAACTCTACTTATTTAAGCATCTGCTTTCCACAGCCAGCCAAATCAGTGAAATTATTATCAGCATTAAATTTGCTACAACAAAATATCATACACATTTTCAAGGAAAACTAGCAGTAGCTACACAGTTTTTTAATTCTACTAGTTAAAATGAATAAATCACCTAAAGATCTAAATTTTGCTATGATCATACAGCAAATATATATAAACTATACTGCTTTTACTGGTAACAGTACTAATCCTCAGTATTTTCCCTATCATATTTATCTATGTACAAAATAATAAGTTACCAATTCAAGCTCTCTTGCATTTATGTCTTCAATTTTTTTAAATGATGTCAGCCCAGCATTTACCATAGCATTTGACAATGATACACCTGTAAAAAACATGTATACAAGTTTTATGCTGTTAAAGGACAATGAATAACCTCAAATTATTCTAACAGCTGCATTACAAAGCCCAAAGCATAAATAATTATTTACATTTGATGCAGCTTTCTGCCCAGCAAATCACTAAATTCATTTTCATTTAAGTATTTCAGTATTAATTAATTTCTCCATTACTAAAAAGAAAAAGAAATGCAATACAAACCAAACATGAAAATACACAATATTTCAATTATGACAACTTTTGCATTTTCTACAGTAGAACAGATTTTAGATCACTTTCTGCAGGAGTCAAGAAATGTGTCCTGTATATATATGATAAAAAAGCATGCTGTGCAGTATTCTTTGTCTCAGAATTTTTTCCCTATTCAAGAAATTATTTAATTATGTTTAAATCATAAAGACCTCAATGTTTTTGAGCAAGTTAATAATAAAATTCACTGAAAAAGAAGTATTTATTATAATCTTCTACAAGTCATTCCAGCATTAGCAAAATCTTTCCCATGGCATGTAAGCCACAAAAGCAGAGAATTCCACATACACTTTTACTTCTCTTCATGATTCACAGTACTTCCAGTGAGATTTAGAGTTATCACCGCATATGAAAGGTATTTAACTCACCTGGCATTGCAGCCTGTTACAATAACTGCAATGACTGTAGATAAAAAATAGTACCAAATACTTAGAATGAGTATTTGGATCCTTCTCACACAGTTCTGCTAAACAGTGTAAGAAATCTGAAAATTAAGTGGGAAACCTCTTTAGATACTTTTTGGTTGCTTCTTGGAAGACATTACAGTAATCTTATAAGAAAAGACTTATCTCAAGAATTTAATAATTTAGAGAAACAGAAGACCTTTTGTCTTTTTATGTGTATTTAAACATCTTTTGGGTCTGACTTAGGGAAAACATCTTTTACCATCTTCCTGCTCCTTTGCAGAAGCTCTGCTGCCTGAATACTGAAAACTCTCACATATTACTTCTGCTGCTAGAGCTGCTACCATGTTTCTTTATAACTGAAGCTCAAGATTAACTCTTTTATCCTAATTTCTAAAATGGTAGAAGAATTTCTCCCAGTAAAGAGAATACCAGATATAAGTAAGAC